TTTTTTTATTGCTGAAGAGTGTTGAACTTTCTTCTTCTGTGTATACTGTACAGACGTGAATTTACATTTCCTTCAGCCTGAGGCTTTTGGTGTGAAAGGGCTTTTATATTTGCCAAAAATAGAACGTTTTATATTAAAAGCATACAAGCAAGCCCTGCCGAGATTTAAAAAGTAACGCAAAAGTAACGGAACGCATTACTTTCAATAAAAAGTAACTAAGTAACGTAATTAGTAACTTTTTAGGAAGTAACGCAATATTGTAATGCATTACTTTTAAAAGTAACTTTCCCCATCACTGGAAATTAATATAGCGGCATGTCTTTATTAAAATGATTAAATTATGTAATTATGTACTTAATTATATGAAATACATTCATATAATTACTCAATGTTACTAAACATTACAATTCAATAAATGCAAAATTATTTAATTAAAAGTAAACGGAATGATTTAAAATTATTTGACTTAAAGTTATTTTTATTCAAATGACAAATAAAATAATTAAATTCAAATAAATTCATCAATCAAGGTTACTAAACTTAACTTAAAACAAATATAAAATAAATGCATTAAGAGGAAATTACACAAACAGATAATATATATATATATAAATGTTTAATTAACTATTAATATAAGATTATTTAATTAAAAGTTACACATTATTTAATTAAAAGTAAATTACACAAAATAAGTAAAATACAATAAATGTAAAATGAATTTAAAGTAAATAAATGCAAAATTATTCAAATATTAATATGTGATAAAAATATTAAATTTTCTATATAAATGTTTAATTAAATATTAATATAAAATTATTTAATTAAAAGTTACACGTTATTTAATTAAAAGCTAATTACACAAAATAAGTAAAATACAATAAATGTAAAATTAATTAAAAGTAAATTAATTTTAATTATTCAAATATTTATATGTGATATAAATATTTAATTTAATTACACAAAATAATTTAAAAATATTCATAAATCTTAAAATACAATAAATGTAAAATTAATTGAAAGTAAATAAATGTAACTATTCAAATATTAATATAAATGTGATACAATTATTTTATTTAATTATCGATATAAAATTACTTAATTATGAGTTAATTAGTATATAAATAATACTAAATTACACACAAAAGTAAAGTAAAATTCACAAAAATACAATCTTACAAAAACGTAAAACATAAAAATGCTCAAAATCAAGACTACGCTCGCATTTAGTCTGTTTTTTAGATTTTTTCTGAAATGTTATATATCTGCTTTTCTTTATTAAAATTATTAAATCATGCAAAATTAATTAAAAGTTCTATAAAAAAATATAAATTATTAAAATATTAATATACATTTCATATAAATATTTAATTTAAATATTAATATAGAATTCTTTTGTGTAAATTACACAAACAAATAAACGAATTCACAAATAAATACTATCTTATAAAAGCTTTTGTGATTTGTGAACATGACGCTCAAAACTGAGGTGTGTGTGTGTGTCACCTGTGCAGTTTCCTCCGCTACGGTCCAGCTCGTATCCGTAGTCACACACACAGCGAAACATTCCCGGCAGGTTCTGACACGATCCGAACACACAGATGTTCTGGAAGTTACACTCGTCGATGTCTGACGGACGACACAGAGCGGACTGAGTGAGTGTGTGTGTGTGTGTGTGTTACTGTATCTCTGTGTGTGTGTTACTGTATCTCTGTGTGTGTGTTACTGTACCTCTGTGTGTGTGTTACTGTACCTCTGTGTGTGTGTGTTACTGTACCCCTGTGTGTGTGTGTTACTGACTGACTGTGTGTGTGTGTGTGTGTGTTACTGTACCTCTGTGTGTGTGTGTGTGTGACTCTTCAGTCGGGGTGAAGCCCATCTCACACTCGCAGCGATATCCTCCCGGTGCGTTCAGACACTGACCGTTCTCACACAGATTCACGTTATCCGCACACTCGTCCATGTCTGCACAACCAAGAATAAAAGATTACTTATTGGTAAAGATTACTTTATTAGATTACTTTATAAGTAAAGATGATTTTTATTATTGAATTTAAAGTTTAAATTAAAAGTAAATTGCACAAACACACAAATAAAATAACTTCAGAAAATAAAAGAAGAAAGGAAAAGCCCAATGCAGTTGCTATGTGTGATACCGGAGCAGGTGAATCCGTCGCCGTTGAATCCCTCTTTACAGGAGCAGCGGTACGATCCCGGCGTGTTCATGCACTCGGCGTTCGGGTTACAGTTGTGTTCTTCAGTCACGCACTCGTCCACATCTGCAGCGACGCAAACACAGCCTCAAACCACAGCCAGACTCTAACGCTCACCTGGAGATCAGCGGCGCTCGTCACTCACCGACGCACTTGATCCCGTCGCCCTCCCAGCCGTCGCGGCAGCGGCACTTGAAGCTCCCCGGGACGTTGACGCAGGCGGCGTGCATGTCGCAGTTATGAGCGCCGATCTCACACTCATCGACATCTGCCAAAATACAAACACTTTACACCAGCTAGCATGATCCAGAACCGGCCTGAACTCCTCGATCTGCTCTGATCTGGTTTTTCTCTGACTCTGTCGTACCTGTGCATCCGGTGGAGCCCTTCTTGACGAAGTATCCCAGCTGACAGTGGCAGATGAAAGAGCCTTTCGTGTTTTCACAGTCGCCGTGCAGACAGATGTTAGGATTCAGATCACATTCGTTGACATCTGGACGAATACATGACAGGAAAGATCAAATTAGGACGTAATACAGACATACAAATAAATAAATAAAACATTACAATATCATGACTAAACGTCAGAATAAAAATATACAAAGGAAAAATGCAAAGAAATAAAAATGCGATAAAATAATTCATACAAAAATTCAATAAAATAAAAAAAATCAAGCTTATTTTAGGTTACTTCGATTAAAATTAATTAAGATAACATTAAATAATGTAAACTTATTTAGCTAAAATTAAATCATTATTTTATTATTTAAAATCAAATAAGTAAAATAATTAATAAAATAAATCAAGGTTCCAACACATTAAAATTAAATAATGACAAAGAGGTCCTGAGGTCGGGCATGAGCGCGTAACCTTCGCTGCAGCTGCATTCGTAACTGCCCTCAGAGTTCGTACAGTGAGTATCGCAGCCGCCGTTCATGATGGTGCACTCGTCGATATCTGTGAAGATGAGAACATGCACATTCACCTTTATATTGAGTTTTGGATGCAGTGTTTCTGAGAATGAATTGCTTCATGCATGTTGATGTTGCTGGAGGGTCGCTCACCCACGCAGCCCTGTCTGTCGGGCGTCACCTGGTATCCCATGTCACAGGAGCACTGATAGGTGCCCACCATGTTCACACACTGACCGTTCCTACACAGGTTATCACTGAGCTGACACTCGTTCACATCTGGGGAAACAAACAAGATAACAAACATAAATAAATTGAAAATGAAGTTAATGAAATTCAATTGTGTAGTTCTAAAATATAGAAACTTGTATTATATTCAAATCATACTAATAATAATGCTATAATTTATTTAGTAATACTATTATATATGATGTCTTTTCAAATATTATTTTTGTAATAAAATTATAAATAAAATAATTATTTAAATAAACATTAATTGATAAAAATAAAAAAAATATTGATAACATTTAAAGTTTAGAATTATTTTAATTTTCATTTAAAATATTATTTAAAAAGTAATTTTAATTATTTATTATTCTATTATACTGTAGTACTAAAGTAAATAATATTATTTATTATGTATGATATGTATATATACATTTATATGTCTTTAATAACCATAACATTATAAATAAAATAAAATAAAATATTAAATACCACTATTCTAAATTAAATATATTAACAAATTGGTTAAAAGTTATAATATTACTAAATGGATAACATTATTAACGTTAAATTATATGTGCTTTATATATTTATAAAGTTCTGTGTTTTCTGTATAGAATGTTCTATTATATAAAAATGTTATTATACAAATATATATCCTTTATATTTAAATGATGGTATTATTATTATTATTATTATTATTAATTATAAAAAATATTGTACTTACTTTATTTAATACTATTTACTATACACACACACACTATTTCTGTAATAACTAAAAATAATTTATTTTTAGAAATAAAAAAACTATACAATTATTTTAATTAAGCACTAAAAATAACTTCAAAATATGAAATATTGCTAAATGGATAAAATATGAACTGGATCAGTTAATAAAATAAAGTAAAATTACATAAATAGGTTCTATATGACATATATAGAGTATGTTCTACTAACACATTTTTATACAAATTTTAACAAACAAATATATATTCATTGTATTTAAATGATAATAATAATATTATTATGAATAGTAATTTACTCATTTTTATTACTATTCATAATCTATGGTGTATTTATTAATACTATTTCTATAATAACTATAAAATGAAACTTTTATAAATAAAAATAATAACAGTTATGTTGAACTGAATATTACTAAATTGGTAAAAATATATATGAAATATTACTTAAGTGATAAAATACTAACTGGATAAGTTAATTCAAAATAAATTTTATTATATAAATAAAAATAATTATATAAATAAGTGTTGTTTATGTTGAATTGAATATTACTAAATTGGTAAAAAAATATATGAAATATTACTAAAGTGATAAAATACTAACTGGATAAGTTAATTAAAAATAATTTTAATTATATAAATAAAAATAATTATATAAATAAGTGTTGCATATGGCAAACAGAATGTATACACATTTCAGTATAGAAATACACATGATTTATTGATTGGTTTGGAGTGTGGCTCTCCTGTACCTTCACAGACTGAAGCTTCTGGACTCAGCTGGTGTCCCGGAGGACAGTCGCACTCATAACTGCCCTCTGTGTTCAGACACGTGCCGCCGCGGCACAGCAGGGGCTCCCTCTCGCATTCGTCGATGTCTGCGGGACAGAGAGAGACAGAGACGGAGACGCTGTGACACACGCAGGCTTTCAGAGGCTGCAGGAAACGGCACGGGTTCGAGTCTCACCCATGCAGTTCTTCATCATCATGAAGCCGCTCTCGTAGCCCTCGAAACACTCGCACTCGAAGCTGCCGGGCGTGTTGACGCAGACGCCGTGTCCGCACAGGTCCGGAGAGATGGTGCACTCGTCGATATCTGCGGGAGCGACGGGAACAGTGTGAGCGGTGCGTTGAAACGCGTGTTGTGTTTGATTTAGATGCGGTGACGGGTGAGATGTTGACCTGTGCAGTTCCTCTCCTCCATGGTGAGGGCGAAACCGCTGTCACAGCGGCATTTGAAGCTCCCGATGGTGTTTCGGCACGTCCCGTGAGTGCACAGGCCTTTGAAGACCTTACATTCATTCACATCTACAGAGAAAAACAGGCTCATAACCTCATTATTCAACACACAGAAAAAACCCTGAAGGAAATACCAATAATCTTACTTTCTGTGTATTTGAGTGCTTTTGTAACAGAGTAAAGTGATACTCTGGGGAGAAAACGGCAGAAAAATGTATGGAAAAACAAAAATTTGTAAATAAATAAAAAATTTAATTAATAAAAATGAAAAAAAGTCCATTTGTATACGAATTAATTAATTGTATTTAAATTCGTAAATAAAAAAAAAAGATTAATGTGAAAGTTTCAGGTAATAAATAATTATATTCATTTATTATAATTATAGTTATATTAAAATAATGATTATAATTTTTAACATTTTAAATATATCATTTATATTAATTAAAATATTTATTTATGTAATAAACATTGTCAATGTTTTAGGTAACAAATAATTATATTTACTTTTATTTAATTATAACATAAATAGAATTTTATATAATATAACCTTACTATAAAATATTATAAATTCATCAGGTTTTTCTGTGAATTTTTCTTGTCAGCCAATATCGGTATCAGATATTAGTGTTTTCTAAATTATTGGTATCGGCTCGATTAAGCTGATGTTGGAAGCCGATAATATCAGCAAACTTCTGTTTCTAACAATGTTTTCGATTGCTGTAAACACTATAGATGTATAATATCGGCCAATATCGGTTATCGGCCAAAACAACATAATTATCGGTATCATATCGGTCGAAATGTTCTATATCCGCACATCCCTATGAATAAATGACAGACAGCTCTGATGCTCCACCTTTGTAGAAAGGTCGTCCTGTCAGGATGTCTCCTCGGTTGGCGATTCCGGGTCCCCGCGGGCAGATGGTTTTGAATTCGGGCGTGTTTGGTTTGGGACAGGCCTCACAGTCCACGCCCCATGCCGCTCCCACTGTACAGCAGCACATATCCACACGATACCGGCCCAGTAATGGCTCCACGCACTCGTCCTCGTCCCATTTCATATAACACTGCTCGCTTCTGATATCTACAGGACACACAAACCACTTTAAATCACCACTGTTTGGTTAGCACGTGTTGTCAGTTACAAAAAAACAGGTTTGTTTTGGATCAGTTGTTCTTTTTAAGTCATAAATCAAGTTGATAGTTTCTGTTTTTGGTTTAAAAACATATTCATGTTGATGTATTATGCTGTCTGCAACCAATAAATCAACTAAAGCAATAAATCGTTTGAGAAAGGAAAGTTAATGAATATGTTTTCATACCAACACATGTTCGTCCGGCTCCGTCCAGCGTAAGTCCCTCCGGACACTCGCATCGGAACGAGCCTTGCGTGTTCACACAGCGTCCGTTAGTGCACACGCCGGGAAACACCTCACACTCGTTAATATCTAAAGACGGAGCAGAAACGTGATGCATCATCATGCAAAGCACTAAATAACACGGAAAGTAAATGCAGCAAAGGATTGTGGGTAGCACGTACCTTCACACACAAGTCCCTTCATGCGCGCAAAACCTTTCGAACAGGCTGGATCTGTAGAAAATACAGGTTAAAAACTTGTTTTTACTTGTTTACTTTATGTTTCTAAGATTGCGTCTTTAAAGCAAATATTGGTTCAATGGTTCATTTAGCTGGAAAAAAACAATTCATTAATAAATTCAATTTTGGCTTAATTAAATTTAATTAAATTTGGTTTTACACGTTTTTTTCAAAAACATTACTTAAATTTTTCTAATTAATATTTTTAATAAATATAAATAATATACAAACTGACAATTTATATGAAATATCTAAAAATGTATAATTGTTTAAATATAAATACAATTCTAAGATTCTTTTTTTATTAAATAAAAAATGAATTCAATTAATATAAAATACATACAAATTAACAAAACATATATAAAATATAAATATTTATTAATTTTTAAATTAATTTCGAATTGATTATTTGTAATTCATTATAATATTAAAACAATTATATATATATAATAGATTTATTTATTATAATTTTAGTAATTATTAATTTTTATTTAAAAAAAATATTAATGTGAATGTTTTAGGTAACCAATAATCATTTAGCTGGAAAAAAAAGCAGTTAATTGTTTATAACTTAATTGTGTAATCATTGTGTATATATATAATATATATAAAAATGTGCTTTTTGTATATGAACTAACCAATTTCGCAGTGTTCACAAGGGCTTCCCCAGGCCGCCCCCAGCGTAGAGCAGCATTCGGACTTCAGCGTGGCCCCGTTTATATTCACCTCACAGCGGCTGTCCTGGATGTTTAGCCAGCAGGTTCCTTTCATGCTGTCTGCATGGAGCAAATACGTGAAAGAGAACCAAAAATGCGTGACAATGACAAATGGACGTTGTGACATTTGGAGCGGCTCCCCTGCGGAGAGTCATTGCATTTCTGCAGATATATAAAAACCAACTCGGATATCTTGCGGGATGGGATCGCAGTGGGCATTCATGCTGAAAGCACAAACGCGCGACCTATTGCCTTCATACTCCATTAATTTCAATCAAACGACATTCAGTTTCAGACAAAGAATGAAAACCGCCTGGCTAGAAATTAATAAAAGTAGCAGAATGCTGTCCAGTTACCTCTAAAAACATAATAAACCTTGACATGCACATCACTATGCTAATGTTGCATAATAAAGTCTCTCAAGTAGTATTTTGTTGCGTATTTAGCAAACATTTCATAGCAATTTAAACATTTAATAGCAACTAAACTATCCATAAGACAAGCACCAATCAGAGAACTTGCTGTTACCATGGAAACTTGTGGCTTAAAATGACTTTTCAAACTTACCTACGCAGATGGTGTTGGTGGAGTCCAGCTTGCTGCCGTGGGAACATTCGCAGTTGAAAGAACCGGCTACGTTGCGGCACATGCCGTTGATGCAAGGGTTGGAGTCGCATTCGTTGATGTCTGAAAAAGAGGAGGACAGGTAAGAACGAATGATACAATATACACAATGTTATGTGAAATTTACGAAAAAGATAATGAAGGAAAAAAATTATCGTAAGGAAACCTTCGCAAGTCTCAGAGTCAGCTTTGAAAGAGAATCCTTTGGGGCAAGAGCAAGTGTAACTTCCGGGCGTGTTTCTACACATGCCATTGTCGCACAACAACCGATTCACCAAACACTCGTTAATGTCTGAAAGATACGCAAAAAGTTAACAAAATTAATCAATCATAACTACTACTCATAGTTTTCAGAGCAAGTATTGTACAAAAAGTCTTTTTTACATAAAACATAGTAGAAGCTACGTTTTTCTACATAATAAAAAAAAGTTATGTAATAAAAATGTTAACGCAACTTACCCACGCAATTCTTGCCGCTAGCATCGGACTCGTAGCCGATGTTACAGATGCAACGGTAGCTCCCGCGCAAGTTCTCGCAGATCCCATTTTGACAGATGTCTGGATCCAAAGCGCATTCGTTGATGTCTATGAAGAAACCGAATACAGTCCGTTAGCATTTAGCATTCGCAAACGTGATTAGCGCATTCGTGAAAACAGACTTACCTCGTCCGTCTGCAGTGATTCCAGGTCCGCTGCTGCACACCGCCTGAAACTCGGCTGCGAACAGACAAACGACGTTAGCCACCTGCTGTCACACAACTTAAAGCTAATGTATGTTGCGTTGATATTAAAGGTGCTGTATATAGGATTGACACCGAGTGGTTGAACTAGGTATTGCAGTCCAAATTCAAAATATTGGAGAGGGTTTTTTTCACCCGGCCCCTCCTCCTCAGACTTGACGCACACGCAGGTTGCCAGATTGACGACACAACAGGAACGAGCGCACTTGACGATGAATGAAATGAAATACACTGTGTTTTCCGCCAACTGGCAACCCGGGGTCCCGAAATACAATTGGGTAAACTGGCAGTGGGCGGGTTTCACAAACCAAAACAGAGACCGACATTCCGACACGGAAGGCACATTTTAATATAAACAAGTATGTTAAAGGGGTCATATGATGCTTTTTTAAAGATCATTATTTTGTGTATTTGGTGTAACAGAATATGTTGACATGCTTTAATGTTCAAAAAATTCACGACTGGAAGGTGTATAGTTGTGGTTTACCGGAGTTGAACGCCGGGCAGGGTTGGCAGGGTTCTCCGAAGCCGTGTTCTGGGTTGGCGCAGCAGCATTCCGACTTGGTCACCGCCCCGGGGAATGGACGCGAACACGTGCCCATCTTTATTGCGCCGTAGCAGGTGGTGCGCATGTGGGTGTCCACGCAGACGCGGCCATCCACGTCGATGGCCAGCCCTGGCGGGCACTCGCAGCGGAAAGAGCCTTCTGTGTTCACGCAGCGACCGTTCATACAGATGCCCGAGGTCTGGCATTCGTCAATGTCTGTCAGAACGAAACGAAGGCGCAAGCCGTTAGAGAACAACACGTCAATAATGACTAATGACGTCAATGACGGTCACGAGAGGCGACAACTTTTGACATGATGCCACTGACATGAAAGATTTACGTCAAACGTGCACCAATGATATACAAATATACGCAAATGCAAACAAGATTGAAAAGTTGCGATGAAGGAACGATTTTCTGAGAATAACAACTTAAATTTTGGTAATTGAAGTCATTAAAGACATCAGATGCGAGAACCAAAGACATCTCAAGACGTATGGTGTCAGATTTGACGTCAAACTTGAAAAAATGCGCAAATGGAAATTTGATATTAACGGTTTAGCATCTGTATCTCGCACAATCATATGACAGAAGACTTGGAATATAGTGTATAGACTAGCAATATGCCACAGGTCTGGTGTTCATAGATGCCTGTCAGAGTTTAACGAAGAAGAAAATAGCGTAAACCATTAATGACATCAGTGACGGTCACAAGACGCAACAACCGAAGACATTTGACGTCACTGACATGAAAACTAGTATAATGTCTTGTGGCACCAGGATTGAGATGTCAAATGTCATTGGTTCTTGCATCTTGCAACTGTAGCCATTGACGTCAAAAATGCGCCAATGACGTGAAAATATACGCGAAGCCGTTCTGAAGAGTTGCGCTGAAGGAACGATTATCAGATGACTGAAAATAACAACTTTGGTTATTAAAGACTTTGATTCTCGCAACTGGTGTTCATTTGTCAACAAAGACATCTCAAGACAGGTCAAGTCAGATTTGATGTCAAACTTGCAAAAATGCGCAATTGTAAATGAGATTTTAGCAATTTAACCGTTTGTTTCATGCATAAAACTATCGTAAAACGTGACAACCGAAGACATTTGACGTCACTGATATGAAAACTAGCTTGATCTGTCTTGTCAATGACATGAAATTTCACTAGCTACGTTTCCATCCAAAGATTCGAATTAAACTTATGTGCAAAACTGGAAAATTGCATAAAATATGTTCCTGTGGCTCAGTGGTAGAGCATTGCGTTAGCAGCGCAAAAGGTCATGGGTTCAATTCCCAGGGAACACACATACTGGTAAAAAATGTATAGCCTGAATGCACTGTAAGTCAGTTTGGATAAAAGCGTCTGCTAAATGCATAAGTTATTATTATTAATTATTAAATTATTATAAAACATATGCGAATAAAGCACTGTTTCCATCCAACGAGTCAAAGAGAACAAAATTGTCACTTCCTGGTAAACTGTGGCACTAAATATCACTAAGAATATAGGAGTAGCCACTGAATACATTAATTTTCATATGTAATAAATTACTTGCGCTTCAGAGAGAGCAGACGTAACACAATAAATGCGGTCATTGCTTTTAGAGGTGGATGCCTACTGTTTGGGAACGCAGTCGTGTAAGACAATTATACAGAAATACTTTGATGACAGACTTTCCTCAGGCATTTCAGAATGACCAAAACAACATATAGATGCTGTGAAGGAGATCAGTCCACTGGTTAGTCAATTTATCCCGTCTCATAGCGCAAATGTAACCCCTCTCTCCCGGGTCCTCACCGCCACACCTCGTTCTTGTTCCGAGTGGGTCTCGAACCCGGGTCTCCGGCATGGGAGGCGGACGCACTAACAAGGAGGCTAAAGACTGCAGCCTCTAGCGTCAGTCGCTAGTGCGTCTCTTGAGATCAGGGGAGTGAGGTTTTTTACCTTGCACAGCACCTACTCGCTGGCCTCCGTTACACTCACCCCCCTAAACCTCACTCCCATCCGGGTCACGGCACCAATGTAACCCCTCTCCCCCGGGTCCGCTCCGCCACACCTCGTTCTCGCTCCGAGTGGGTCTCGAACCCGGGTCTCCGGCATGGGAGGCGGACGCACTAACAAGGAGGCACTAACAAGGAGGCTAAAGACTGCAGCC